TAAAACTCTAAAACAAAGTAAAACCCCTAAAATAAAGTAAAACCCTGCAACAAAGTAAAAAACCCGAAACAAAGTAAAACCCGAAACAAAGTAAAACCCTTCAACAAAGTAAAACTCTAAAACAAAGTAAAACCCTGAAACAAAGTAAAACCCTGAAACAAAGTAAAACCCTGCAACAAAGTAAAACCCTGCAACAAAGTAAAACTCTCAAACAAAGTGCAAACCTGAAAAAAAGTGAACCCCTGAAACAAAGTAAAAACCTGAAACCAAGTAAAACCCTGAAACCAAGTAAAAACCTGAAACAAGGTAAAACAACAAAGCAAAAGCCATAAACCAAGTAAAACCCTAAAACAAAGTAAAAACCTGAAACCAAGTAAAACTCTAAAACAAAGTAGAACACTAAAACAAAGTAAAACCCTAAAAAAACCTGAAACCAAGTAAAACCCTGAAACCAAGTAAACTCTAAAACAAAGTAAAAAAATAGCAACAAAGTAAAACACAGAAACAAAGTAAAAACCTGAAACAAAGTAAAAACCCGAAACAAAGTAAAACCCTGAAACCAAGTAAAACTCTGCAACAAAGTAAAACTCTGCAACAAAGTAAAACACTAAAACAAAGTAAAACCCTAAAAAACCTGAAACCAAGTAAAACCCTGGAACAAGGTAAAACAACAAAACAAAAGCCATAAACCAAGTAAAACACTAAAACAAAGTAAAACCCTGAAACAAAGTAAAACCCTGAGACCAAGTAAAACCCTGAAACCAAGTGGGTGCACTATGACACGCACCGTTGTCAACACTCGGGTGACACAGTGCAAAGACCGCGAACAAAAGAAGCCAACCACTTCACAATGTAATTAAAACCCTAAAAACCTAAAACACACTCGTCTGGCGCATATGAGTGGTCTCTGCACACTCACAGCACACACCAACTCAACAGCACCGAACCAACTACACCCTGTCCACGTTGTCGTGATTTTAGGGTTTAGGTTGATTCGTTTCTCAAGATTTGTACTGTCTCTATGTGATGATATCGTGTAGCCGCACTTGCCAAAAAGTACTTAACACTTTCAATTGCCATCGTCCATATACCTACACATCACTCTCACTCCTTATATAGGATCGCTCTCTCACTCCATATACCTACGTACCTCTTTTTGTTTGTTATTGTACCCTATCAGTTTCTTGACCTTCTGCGCGAAAGCCTTCCCCCTGCAAGTACAGATAAGACATTGCCACCATCAGTACCTAAAACCCTAAACCCTAAAACAGAACTGTACGCACCCGAGATTAACCGAATCTGCTGATGAACCACACAATGTACCCACAACAACCTCACCAACGCAACAGCACTACACTCTCAACCACGCGCACTTAAACACCTGAAGCTCTATCCGGAGCATCTCAGAGAACAATCTGATCGCCGAAGATGTCGTACAAGGTGTGTACCTAAAACCCTAAACCTTACAAGGTGCGTGCTGTGGCATGCTGAAGTGGCACCTCTCGAGCTAAAACTCTAAACCCTAAACCTTAAACCCTCACACATGAGTACTCCACCTAAAGACATGTGCGTACATAAATACAATACAATACAAACACAAGTACATCTATACTCTACACACACTCATACACAAATCCAATCCAATACAAACACAAGTACATCTATACTCTACACACACTCATACACAAACACAATCCAATACAAAAACAAGTACATCTCTACTCTACACACTCTCATACGTGTACACAGGGGTACACAAATTCAATCTAATACAAACACAAGTATATCTCTACTCTACACATACACAAGTACACAAATACAATCCAATACAAACCACACCCTCATACACAAATACAATCCAATACAAACACAAGTGCAACTATACTCTACACACACTCATACGTGTACACATGGGTACACAAATCCAATCCAATACAAACACAAGTAAATACCTACTCTACACACACTCATACACAAATACGAAGACCTCCGTGATACACAAGGTAAACAGCACAACACAGAGATGCGCAGACGATATGAAAGTACCTAACGTTCCCTCGCTCAATGTTGCTCAACTTCCGCCCAGACATTTTGGCTCTCATGTTATACGAGAACATATACACATCAAACAAAGACACCACTCCTGCAGAGAAAGCAAACAAGTGAGCATGTCAGTACTAAGCTAGGTGGCTATGAAGCTCACTATGGACAGTCTTGTAAGAAGATGAGTAATATGTGAATGTAGACCATGAGATGAGAGTGACCACGGATATATCACATACACTAACACACACACACACACATACACACACACACACACACGCACACACATACACACACACATATATATT